CATGGAGAAGAACGGTTGAAGAAAAGGCGAAAACAGCTGGGCTCACATGGGCACAGATTAGGGGAGCAGCCCAAAACCGAGTCCACTGGAGATGTGTGGTTGCAGCCCTTTGCTCCCCAGGGGCCACAAAGGAATGATGATGATGATGAAGCACAACAAATTTCAATGTTATCTTCATACTTATTGTCAATGGTAAGTTATTTTAGTGATAAAAAGCAATGTGATAGATGTGGAACTCTATGCAAACAGCACACAAGGGAAAAAAAGCTTTAAAAAACTTACTTGTCTGCCACTCTTCACCAGACACACCTCACGCAAGCTGCTGTGTGAAGACACATGTTTACATTTCTGAATGATGAGCCTCGTGTGTGGGACATGGGACCAAGACTTGCCCAGGGCTGGCTTACTCTTGTCACCATTCATAGAAGTTGTCAAATTGTTTGTAACCTTTAGTTCAAATAGTTCATTTGCAAAATGTAAAGATGCAGCAACAACATTTTTAGCAAAATAATGGAGGAGTGAAATATCTACAAACTATTTAAGTAATGTAATATATATATGTATATATAAATTATATATGTATATATATGTATATATATGTATATATATGTATATATATGTGTATATATATATGTGTATATATATGTGTATATATATGTGTATATATATGTGTATATATATGTGTATATATATGTGTATATATGTGTATATATATGTGTATATATATGTATATATATATATGTATATATATATATGTATATATATATGTATATAACTAGTTTTGGACTTCAGCTTCTATGATATGCTTGAGCTCATCCATCCATCCCTGTGATGCTACAGCCCATTCAATAGGTTTTTTTGGGGGTTTTTGTTAGCATCTTGGTTTCAATGGCCTACATTATCTTTTATCTTATTACTGTTTAATATATTTGCTTTGTGCACATTCTTTATACTCTTGCTTTTCAGTAGGTTGTGGCTACTTAAGCATGCCCTGTTGCCGGCAAAAAAATATTTCTTTGATTTCAGGTAGGTCCCTTGCCTTCCTGTATCAAAGATACACAGGTGAGATTATACATTGGCCTAGAGACAAAAAATTCTTACCAATACAGCTAAGGAAGATTTGTGGGCCAGCTGTTTTAGACTTAATCCCAGCTGTGAGATTATACCTTGACCTACAGACCAAAAAAAAAATACACATCAACAATGATCTACATATCATTGTAATTGGAATAGCTGATGACATCTTAATAGAACTATTGTTTTCATATATGAGAAATGTACTGAGGCCAAAAACTAAAATACTATCTATTATCAGAACCATATATGTACTGCAATATGGCCACCAAAATAAAATCAAATCATAATATTGTTTAATAATAAAAAGCACAAATGCAATACACTTACTATGTGCAATTTAGCTACACAAAATATAGTAAACTCAAAACACTATTAGCAATCAGGATTCCCAAAAATAAAAATAAATCAAAACAGACTCTGCTTAATAAGGTGAGCCAAAATATAATAACACTTTTTATATATTTAATCTCTGGCCATCCAAAGAAATACTAAAGTCAAAATACTTACTATGTGCAATCTGGCCACCAATGATTGGATTAATGGGGGATGCCAGGTTGTCTATTATCACAAGTTTTACATTGCCATACTCCATGGGAGTCTGAAATCAATAATGTGCCATTTTATATTTTAATTAGTGTTAGATCACTCTCATACAAATAAACTTAAGAATGGCTACAAGTGAAAATTACTGTCTGCTAATAAGCTTACTAGTTTTTACTGAGTTCACTACACAAAAAATATTTCATTTAACATCAAGATTTAATGAATAATGCACCATCATGTTTTGGTTCTTTCGGAAGACAGTCTGGGCATTTGTTTAATTAATACACTTAAATAAGAATAGAGTTTAAGAAAATCAAACCATAATTTCTAACAATTTTGAACAACCCAACCCTGTTCATGACAAGTCAGAAATTCATTATTAAATCCCATTTCTCTTGTTCATGAAAAGTCAACATTTCATATAAAATTTAAACCCAACAGTTCTGTTCAATAAAAACAAAGATCTGCTTTTTAACTCCCCTCCCCTGTTCAAAAGAAATTAAAAAATTTTTAAACCCCATAGTTATGCTCATGACTGTTTCCCAGCATACTCACCGGTTTTGTTAAGTCTTCCCGAATGCTTTCCAAAACAGAAAACAAGTCAAAGACATTGAACGCCTGTACAAGTTTGATCCGCTGCAACTTCTCTTCCAACAGCTCTTGGGATAACTCAGCCTAAAATACATCAATCAGCCCAGTTTAAAACTAGAAATTTCGTAAAATTAAACAAAAGCACACAAAAACATGTGTTTAAATAAAGAACGAGTTTAAAAAAAATAAATTCCAATACTAAACTTGATTAAAATCTGCACTCTGTGAAAGAACGTCTAGGACACATTCAATGCTAAATGATGAGCAGGTATCTATATAAACAACGGTGTATTTCTCTGTCATTACTGTGGTTGCTGCACACCATAAGCAAATCTGAAAACACAAAAAAACAATAACAGAAGTCTTGAACAAATTTAACTATTTCAATATTTAAAAAATTGTTATAGTTTTTAAAATTAAAATACATCAGAAACTAATATTTTCTTAAAATGAAAGATCACACTTTTAAAAAAAATATTTTAAAATTATACTTTTATCGTGTTTTCAAGAACATTGCTTACTCTTGTTTTTCCAGCAGCTGTAAACCCAGCTATTTCTGTAACTTCTGCTGTGAAGAGTCCACCGTCCAACAACTCATCAAGCCTTGAGAGAAAAAAGAGTTCTCTTTATTTTAAATAACTTAATACTCTATTTCTTTCTCTCTTAACCAGCTTGATTGATGTTCTTATGCCATGCAGACAGGATGAAGAATCAAACATTTCTCCCACCCATGTTCCCAGTCACTAAACCCATGGGTTTCTACCAGCGTTTTACTAAGTCTTTGACCCCTGTGCATTGCACCACCTGATTTGTATATGGTAGCTGCTTGGTTTGGGATAAAAAGGCTACAGTGATGAGTCTGGGACAAAATCATGACTTTTGTGTTAGAAAGTGCGCATTCTTCCCCAGATCAAGCTGTTCCACATAATTTTTATAAACATTCATGAAAATATTAAAAACTCTTTTTTTTTCTTATGTAGTTTTTTACTCAAAATCTTCGTGTATTTGCTGAAAAAGCAGTTTAATTAAAATAATTAAAATAGTAGTTCTAATTATATTTTCATTTTCAGTTTGTTAACTTTTTTTTAAAATCTGTTTCATTGCAGGCACCATTATTACTTTTCCTGAATTGAAATGTGTGACTTACTTATAATGAACAAGTTGCATACATATACAATTTATAGTTAATTCTTTTTAAATATTCACCTGTTACATCCTGTAGATAACATCGTCAACATAGGCAATGCATCCTTATACAAAGTCACAGCAGAAACAGGATAAGCTGAGTTCTCAGAAATTAATACTCGACGAATGGAACATACATCCTGCAGTTTGATTGAAGATAATATATATGCATATAAATATGATGTTTCAAATTTTATTGAGTGTATTTATTGCTACCCTTTTCAAAGAATGCCACAATATGTAGAACAAATTCCATAACAAACAAATATTCTAGCCAACTTGGTCCTTAATACTTAATAACTAAGCAAATAGGACAAATCAATTACAATTTTTCACAAACCAATTTTTAGTGTTCAATATATGCCTACAACTAAAAATAGCAAGTTAATTTACCACATCACCACACTGAAAGGCATATCAACATCTTGGATTTGTTTCGCTTCTTTCTATGTCTAGGGCTTACAATAATTTATAGTTCTGTATAGCTACTGCAATGTTATAACTAGTGCAGACTACCTTAAGTAGTATCATTCTTTACTAGCAAGAGTAAAAAAAATAGTAAGAATATATAATATATATGTATGTACCTTATAAGGTATGTGAAGATCTTTTGAGATAGCATCAGGGTCTCTGGTTATGAAATCTGTGACTGTTCTGATGCCACCAGCTTTAAGCTTGCCTAAATTTTCCTGGTTTAGTGATGTACATAATCCAACTCTCAATGCCATTAAAACAGAGATTTTGCCTAGAAAAAAAAATTGTGTTAAAGTACTTGTTTTTAAGTAATAAATTGTTTGGTTTCACTTATAGGCCCTAACATTACTAACAATGTAGTTGAATGTAGTCTATTAAGTTCACAGTCTATTATAGCTTTTGTATTTTGATATTACATTTATCATTTATAATATTTTATATTTTTTACTGATGGTTTATTAATATCTAGAAATCTAAAACAATGTCACACTCATACTCATGGGGGGGGGGGGGGGGAGATTTTTTCAGATTTTGTGTGTGTAAACTGTAATGTGGGGAAGAAATTCAGAAAACGTGACTTCTCACATTTTTTCTTTTCTTTTTACAAATAGATCTCTATTTAAATTTTTGAAAATAATTTTAGTTCTAGATTTCTAGCTGTTATTAAATATTTCAGATTTCATATGGGTTTTTTTTTACCCTATAAATTGCAATAAAAATGTAGTATGTAGGCCTACAGTATGTAGCCGTAGCCCTAACTCAGCATTGACGTGCTCAGTTAAATATCTTATTATAATTATAGGCTAATATTAGTTACTTATAGAAAAACATCTAGTTAGGCCTAATAATATTTGTTATAAATTACAAATATTTCCATTGTTCTCAGTGGGGGAGATGTGTCGTCATTTTGAATGAGGTCTGACTATTCACTATGTGTGTGGGGGGGGGGGGGGTGGGGGGGGGGGTAAATCGTTTTATTTAAAAATCGTCGTTGATTGACCCCTCTCGTCACATTATTATATTAAATAATAAATAGTAATCTATGAATCTAGAAGATCTAGTGAGACTCGGAGAGAGTATATAATCTAGTTTTTTACTAAATCTAGATCTACTTGTCTTACTTAGTTTACTTTCTAGTCTAAGTCTAGCTACATTATCTAGATCTAGCCCTATACTATACTACACTAGGCAGGGGAAAAAAATAAAACGATGGAAATTGAATTTCGTTATTTCGAGATCCTATATTTACAATACTTCAAGCAAGAACAGTAACTCCTAACGACAGAGCTGTATTTGACCTGAAAAGACACAACGTACCACAATGTCGTCCTTGGCAAATCAACTTTATCAAACAGTTTTTAAACGAACATCAACGTTCGTTATAACTGTTGTAGTGCTAGCATATCCATTTGAGAGAATTTTCAATACAGTAACAGATAACTACTTTAGGAGAGCAAACAGAGGGGTAAATATAAAATTATATGAGTAAAACTCCATTTTAGCGTATTTTACTATTTTATTCCGCTTCACGTTCACCTCCAGTTGAGCGTATTTTTAAAGTATTTTTATAAACACAACCGAAACACACAAAAACGTTAGGAAAACACTAGGATTAGAGCTAGATCTAGATTCTATTTATTTTTTAAATGAATGTGAGTTTTAATTAGAAAAGGTAAAAAAAAAAGCATAGGACAGTTCCAATAATTAACTTTAATTCTTTAATATTAATAGTGTGATCGTCAGCGGGAGAAAAATCCCTACACGTCGAGGGTTCACTGTGAGTTCACATTGACTTTAATTATCAGCATATGTCATCATAGTGTAGCTTGGGCAATAGCTATTCTCAGTTTTGGGGTCATCGTGAGTTCATAAAAGTTTATTTATAGGCCTAGTTTACTAGTAGTTAGCATTCTTTCAATATTCCAAATTTGTGTGTTTCGGTTGTGTTTATAATAAAATACACTCAACTGGAGGTGAAGCGGCGAATAAAATACGCTAAAATGGAGTTTTACCAAAATTATGAATTGTATGATGTAGGCGTATGTGTGGTTTTTACAATGTTGTGGAACTTACTTACCTCAACGGATGGTGGAAGATGCGTAATTTTTTAAACCACAACTTTAAAAGTTGTAGATTGCATGGTTTTGATTTTGGCTAAAAAAAAGTGGAGTGGAGATCATCACTGTGATTAAATTCTTGCTGATCTTACTGAAGCTGGTTGATAATTAATTAATTATAATCATTAATTTATAATAATGAATTATTTCTTATGCCACTTAGATCTATGCAAACTTATGGGTAATAACTTGACCTAATAACTAAAAAATACTATGCTTGTGTTGTTTTAATTTTTAATCATTGACAATTATGGATTTTTCGAAGTAGAATAGTTAAGCCTATTTAATTAAAGCTAAACAGCCAGCTAATTTTTTTCACCACTCAATAATTGTACTTGTACACAAAAAAAAAGAGTGGACATCAAGAGAAAAAAAATTATAATATGGACCCTTCCCAACAGTATCAAGAAAAAAAAATGCATTACTAAATCTATTTTAGTAACAGCAAGCCAATGTTGCTATCATTTACCTTGAGTGAAGGACATTCTTTTACTGAACAAAAATTCAAATTTTATTCTTTCTCTTAAAAAATAGTACCTTGGACTATACATTTATTTGTTCTTTATTTTATATAATCAGAAAAACAATCCTGTTTATTATGCAAGATAGTAGAAAATACATATTTGTAGACCCTGAAAAAATGTGAAAGTGCTGAGATTTTTCTGGCTACAGAAATGTATATCTTTCTTCTACCAGTATAATATAAAAATGAACAATACCCTACATTAACCACATTCACTCTTATGACGTATACTATACTACACTTGTCTAGAGAAAACAAAGCAACAAGTAAGTATATAATATGTTCTAAGGGGAAAATGTCCATATAAACTTGTTGCTGTGTTTTATCTAGACATGTATAAGAAATATTGTGTCTTTTCTTTTGGTTAATTGCTATTACATCGTCTTTGTGCAAAACTGTAGATTGTTGAATTCAACCAAAACTAAAGCAACTGATTTTGGTTTGTTTTTCAGAAGTTGTATGAAGACATAAAGAAAGAACCTGCTGAGGAAGAATGATGACACTCTGTTTTACCATGGCTGCATAAATATTTGTATTCTGTATTGTTAGTAGCATGAGAGATGTATAAGCCAAGCAATGAATCAAAGTGGTGAAGAAGATGAATAGTTTTAAATTAATTCTTTTAAAAATTATCATGGATTTTTATCTCAATTTCTAAAATTGCACAGCTAATAACTCAGTTCTGTGTTTAGTTATCCTGCAATCAAAATTAGTTTGTTTGCAGAAATGGCTGGTGATTGCATAAATAAAGTAATGAGATATTTTCCATGATCATACTTAGTTTGTGTTTTTATTTTTCTTATCTAGGGCCTGTTTGTTTTTTGAAGCATTATGTTTGTGGTGGGATCTGCAAGTTTGATATTGCATATGTAGGTTTTGCTCTAACTATTATCACTTTTTACTACATTGGTAGTATGTGGTAGGGACTTTTTAAGTTACACCAAATTACCTTCTTGGTAATATACTCTGTAGATACAATATAGTTAGTTAAATAAAAAAAAACTTTCGTGAATATGAACAGGTTGTGTGGTGAGCACTATGCCCTGCTTCTTTAACCTACATGACTTAGGGTACTCATTATTGCTGGTTTGGCTCAAGGTTGTCCTTCAAGCTTGGGTGCTGACCTCAACACTTTGCAGACAGTGGTCATCTGCTATTTTGTATTATTTTCTTGTGTTTGTTAACACCTGTAGGCCAACAAAGTTAGTGTGGCTCAAATATCAAAGCATTGAAGATTTTAGATTTAGTACATTATAATTATTGAAATAGGCACAAAACATGCACTAAGGCCAAAAATTTTCAGAAGTAAAATTATAATTCACTCCACTAGGGGGAAAAGAATCATGAAACCTGTATTAAGGGGGCATCACTCACTATCACTTAGCCCTACTATGACGTGAGTAGTGACGTCTTTACTATTTTAGTCAATTTTTATACAACTATCCCACTCATGTCACTAAAAAGTCAGATCTCCGATAACCTCACAAAGTTCTGTCCATTAACCGTAGGTAATTGAATGAGATATGGTGTGGTAGCGCTGTGAATTACAAACCTGGAACCCAGAGTCCACCAAACTCTTATGGGCACCTGACATAGGCTAGGGAAAGTAAAGGCAGCTGGACATTGTGCTGAACACACCATACCTTCATTCATATACAGAGATCAAGTAAATATGAACTGTTGTATGGATCATTATGAAAGGGGAACTTTACTGGGTGAACAGGTTTCTAGTATAGTTTTAGATATGTACAAACCAACTAGACATCTTTACATTTCTGTATTTTAACCCTCAGTCAAGCATAGTAACAAGTATGTTTAAAAAAAAAAAAACTAATTGTAATGACCAGGAACAAAAATAAGAAAACAAAATAACTTTCATTAGAGCACTTAAGTTGGGTCTAAAAGTTGGTCACTCGTGAAATCTCTGACTTCAATGGAAATATTATAAAAGCTTGTCATTATTTTAAGGTTTTTATGATGTTTTTTTTATATCACCAGTCAAAGGGGAAATAACTGAGGCGATATTTTTTTTAATAATTCAAAAAGCAAAAATGGAAATCTGTGACAAATTTTAAGCGGGGGGGGGGGGGGGGGGGGAGGTCACAAGATTATAACAAATGGAACAAGCTGAACAGAACGGCTACTGTCGGAGAACTCAGGAGAGCTGTAGTTTCTAGGATGAAGAACTAGCTGGCTGCCCATACTCTATCAGGTCCGAGAACTGTGGAACGATGTAGGCCCAAACTCTAGCAGGAGTGACGGGAGAATATTCTGATGTGAATTGGTTGGGGGGGGGGGGGGGGGCATTTCCTACCTTAGGCCTATATTATAACTGTAGGCCTAATGAAATTATAGTACATTAAAGGTTACAGCAACTGAATAACATTAAATATTTTCATCCTGTCATACATAGCATTATAGCCTAATGTTTTTTTTTTTAAATCAAAAGATATTACTATTACACATTTTAATAATAATAATTAATAATAATACAGGCTAGCGCACAGTAACGAAAGGTGGGGGTGGGGCAGGGTGTAAAGGATGTTACCTTTTGTACTTCCTAGGGAAAATGATGAAAAATTGATGACGTGCTGTACTTGCTGCATGGATAGGTACTAATTGTACAGAATCTGGTATTTTTCTATTATAGAGATGATCTAGTGGGGGACAGAGTTTCTTCCAGGCCTCTCCTGCCCCCCCCCCCCCCTCCCAACACACAAACGCACACCATTCAAAAACGTAGATTATTTAATAAGTTAAATTCTTAGGAATTTAAAGCGTCATATGAGTAAACGTTAATTTATGCTATAGCTACAAAAAATGAAAAATAATAATATTGAATAATTTTAAAATAATCTTATTTTTAGGCTTAGATAATATATAAGTGTAACAAGGGGAGGCTACTATCATATAGATTCTAGATAAGTTAAACATTGCAGGGAGAGAGTCAAAGGGGACTTTGCTCTTTGCAGTCTTTGGGAAACAACAGATTATTTACAGTGGATGTTGCTTTTGCATTAATCACTTGCGTTGGTTAGTTTTAAGTCGGGTTTCATTAGTTTCTATTATTTATCAAAACTAATAAAAGTACTGAATAATATTCATATTCTAGATCTAGACTAGTAGCTAGATTTTAAGAAGCTAGATTTTAATTTTCCTACAAGATTCTACTCTCTAGTTTACTAGTTTAGAGTTTAGAGTTTAGTCTAGTCTCAAGTTCTAGTCTAGTCTCCCTTAATTTTAATTCCTAAAGGCTGTAGGCCGCTGAGTACACTGTAGGCTAATCATTACTATTAACTTACTGTTAACTCTTAAATAAAATAAAAAAAACACTCTTAGGGGGCCTACAGCTTATTTTTATGTTACCAAGTCCAAGACTATCAAATTCAATCCAGATCTAGATCTATAACTCAAAAGTTTGACTCAAATTAATAAAAAATTATCATCACTACTGATTTAATAATACTACTATCACTAATATTATATAATATATAATATATATTGTATAAATAATAGGCCTAGGCCTATATAATATTTAATATCAATTTACATACTATCGTATCAAAGTCAAAATATCAATATTTTTTTTTATCAATCAATCAGCATTGAGTCTAGCTGGAGCCTAGATCTAGTTAGTAGTTAGACTTTAAGTATTAAGTTAGTTAGACTCATACTCTTGGTATAACATAGCCATGCCCATATAATGGCATATAACTACTATTTATTTGCGCCCTATTTATTTAATCTAATATTAACTTAAAATTAAATCTATAGGCCTAGATCTATCTAGATTTTAATGATTGTGTATAGAATAGTACACATTAATTAATTAAATAATTAAATAAGTGTCAGATTTAAACATCCGTTTTTTCTTGTAAATTGTTGTTTTATACATTTAAACAGACTATACACAGTGTACAATGTCTTCTGCTGACAAAGCTGCATCCTCAACCAGTGAGTCATTAACGCAAGAAAATGTCATCAAAAGCTTAACATTCCTCAAAGATTTTCCTCCAGGACCTCTAGATGCTTACAGAAAAGATGCTTCATTTAACTGGAAGGAGATGGCTCTTTTCCTGGAAGGGGAAGATATACTGAGATTCAAGGTGAAATTTTCAAAAGATTGTAGACTTATTTTAGATTTCATCAAATAACCCTATATTGTAGTATACAATTAAATTTTAGGTTTAGCCTGCATTGAACTTGTTAGAGATTTTACTCGTTTATTAAATATATATTATTATGAGCTTCTATACAATCATGCCATGCAATATATTATTTTCATATTGATGTACTTTTTAGATTTCTTATTCTTTTGTTTTTTTTTTCAGTACAAAATCTTCAAAACCCTGGAAAATGACCCAGTGTTTTCTAAGGGTTACGAAACACTGCCATTGGAGAAACAAAGAGAACTGACTTTCAGGCGTACACAGCATGTCTCTGCCTATGATTTTCTGCCAGATGACGAATTATTTGCTAATCCCTTAAAATACAAAGCTTTTACTGAAGCTCTTGGCATGTATGATTGGACTGTGAGTGCCAAATTAAATTTAAACATTGAGGTAAGTACAAAAAACATTATAGTAATTGTACAGTTTTTAATATTAAATTTTACATTTACTAGTTAAACTTTTATAAAATTAAATGTTTTAAAAATCTCTTATAAACTATAATTAGTAAAAGCTTCTGGAAATACCTGTTTAATATATGATGCTCATTATGGCAGATAAAGTAGAATTTTCTGTTTCTCTGACCATATGAAAGGTATGTGTGGTTATCATCATACACAAGTGCCTTTACTTTCCCCTTAAAAATTGTACCCTTTTAGTTGCCTCAACTTAAGAAATTCTTTCTAGAGACATTTATGTTAGTAGCCTACCACTCAAGCATTTGTTAGTCTCCAGCTGATGAGAATCCCTTGAAACTAAGGCTGCTGGAGAGTGTGGTGGTTACTACAAGTAGATTCCCCAACACAGAAGAGTTACCTATGAGTAGAAATAAATATTTTGAAAATCTGATTATTTTCCCTAGATGTTTGCTGGTACAGTACGCAACATGGGGTCTCAGAGGCACACAGAGTTTGTGGAGAACAATAAAGCTAACCAGGTTAGTTTTGACTGTCTCATTCAGAGTTAAGACAATAAAGCTAATCAGGTTAGGTTTGGCTTAATATCATCAACTGTTGACATGAAAAGCTTAATCAATCAGTACACTGTTTTGTTTACAATTTTAACTCCTGCATTAAAAAAAAAAGCCTGTTTGCGCTGTATTTATTTATTTTTTTCCACTGTGTTGGATCTTAGAACTTTGGATGCTTCATTCTGACAGAACTCAGTCATGGCAGTAACACAAAAAACATGAGGACAACAGCCACCTATGACTCAAAGACTCAGGTATGGAGAAAAAAACAAATGACCCTCATTAATGTTAGTAACCCTATAATGCTGGTATAAGTTTTAAACCTACCACAGCTTAACGTTATACAAATTTCTTTTTGGATTAGAATTGTGATAAAATTTCACTTCTCTCAGTGGTAAAAGGTTAAAAACAGTAACTATTGTATCATTTTTGTGTGAGGTTCTATGAAAAAGTTTCCTTCTTGTGTATTGTTAATAGGATGAACCATTCATAGTAACATGTTTATTTTTAAACACCAAGGCAAGTTTAGATTATGTTGAACAAAAAAAGTTACAATATTTTTCTTTAAACTTTAAACAGGAATTTGTTATCAACACACCAGATTTTGAAGCTACAAAAATTTGGGTGGGAAATTTAGGCAAACAAGCAACACATGGTATACTGTACGCACAACTGTACACAGAGGATGGGGTCTGTCATGGCCTGCACACCTTTGTGGCACCACTGCGTGACCCCAAGACTCTGTTGGCACTGCCTGGTGTCTTGGTGGGGGATATGGGTGAAAAGATCGGCCTCAATGGCTTGGACAATGGGTGAGTAGCACTGTCAGCCTTAGTAAACACTTCGAAAACATTGGCTAATTTATAAATAATCTCTGTAGAGCTGTTGATTTCTTGTTTTTTGTTGTTGTCATAATTTAGTCAAGTGAGTATATTCTCATATAAATATAATAGATACAAATCTTACTATCTTAATCTTTACATTTAAAAAAAAAGGCTTATTTTGTATTCTAACTGAATTCCCACACATACTATCAGTGACAACCTTGCATACAGGTATTGAAGATATTTTTTGTTCAAGTAGGCTAGCCGATACTTCTTCTTTAGAACTGTGTTAACTTATTGAATCTAAAGCAAAAATTCAAGGTTGTCACTCAAAATACTGCTAATTCATGTATATTTGTACAACAAAGTTCAGTTTATTAATTAGCTTATTCTTTTAATACTCCATCTCCTTTAATGGAACTGATGGATATAGTGGCAAATATTCTATCCACAGCTTTGTTGCATTCAATCAGTTCCGTATTCCTCGAGATAATTTGTTGGATAAATTTGGTGATGTTAAACCAGATGGACAATATGTAACACCATACAAGGTAAAATAGTTTTTTTAACTACTAAAAAGTTTTATTTTTACTCTTGTATTATCCAAAAGTGTTAACTGAACTATGGAATTTTCACTATTTTACTTTATCAATTTACTAAACAGTAATGCAAAACTGTATCAATGATATATTTGAATGTGCTTGCATTCTTGCATATGTTAAGAATTATGTAAATTTTATTACTAAATAGTAATGAACTATGTATTATTTTATCAGAGATAATTAAGCTTCAATGACTTGTATAGGCTTCTCTTAATTATTAACTTTCTCCTTTGCTAATTAGAATTTGTAACTCTCGCATCTGCAGGATCCAAACAAAAGATTTGGTGCCTCCCTGGGTGCTCTGTCTGGTGGTAGGGTGGGGATCACAGGGATGGGCGTGGCCAACCTCAGGCTCTGTATGCCCATAGCCATCAGGTACTCGGCTGTCAGGCGCCAGTTTGGGCCAGGCAAAGATGAAATTCCGGTGATTGAATATCAACTGCAGGTAGAAATTTAAAGCCATTTTCTAACAGTAGGAAGAGAGATTGTTTACAAAGAGAAAAAAATATTGCATCATTTTTTGGTCCAATAGATAATGATAATGTATCTGACATCATTAAAAATTCAATACTGATAAAGATGAGATAAAAAATAATATAACTTGTTACAGACTGATAAGAGTGATAAGAATAAGATTAGTTGTTTTTTTTTTTAACTCACTAACTTCCCTTTAGGGACCTGACTGTTTAAAGTAAAGTAGACCATTTGAATAGATGATTTGGGAGGTGGGCAATATGCAGGCAAAGTTCCCAACTAGACTTTCTAATAGCAGATGTTTATTGAAGCTGGAGTCAGTCTTATGATATCTAGTCAGGATCTGGCGTGACCAGTATTTGAGCTCAGGTTTTATTACTCATGCCCTTGTTTCATGACCACCAGAGCCATTTAATTTTTTCCTTTAGTGTTATTCTTTTTTAGAATATCAATCAGTCATTTTGGTCCTAAAAAATTGTAGATTTTTGTATCTGAACACATTTAAAAAAAAAAGAATGGTTTTAAAAAAAGCACTACTTTAATTATATAAAATTGAATAACTAACAGATGATGTTCAAAAATTGTATTGAGTGTTATTGCTATCTATTGTGCTAAAAGCACTTAAAACTTAACATCATATCCATTTACTAAAAACCATACACATTTTTGATTTATAACTATTATAACAAACCTAATACTGTAAGATAATTTTATTTTCATTACACAAGACTTACTAAGAAGAAAAACTACTGATTTGTTATCAATAAAACCATAACTAACATCTAGCCTCAATCATTCTAAATCCTTAAACTTATTTGTAAACAGAAATAATATTTTTTTTACAGCAATGGCGACTATTTCCATATCTGGCAGCTACTTATGCCCTTGAAAATTTTTCAACCTCCTTTTTCATGGACTACGTGACTCTCCGTGTTGGTAGTATGGTAGGAGACACAAGTCAAAGACAGGTCTGTTGCTTTTTCAAATAGAAACATTCATTCAAGCTTGGTCATATCTTTATTGTTGATTCTTATCTTCTTCTTCGTTCTTAATTTTAGTGTTGGAATGGATCCCTTCCAACACAAATTATTTAATTGATTCTTATGATAAAAATGATTTAAGTAGTAAGTAATTATATTTATGGAATGCAGTTGTTAATTAAGGGAGGGAGTTTCTTTTTATACTGATTTTTGCTGGGAAATAGTCCCATAAAAGTTTCCCTTTCAAACCTGACGGTCTATGGGGCAAGTGAAGTAGAGTTCACTTGTTTCTGTGACCTCGGCATATGAAGAGATAGTGTGGTCAGCACTATACCCAGCCGCCTTTACTTTCCCTAACGTAAGTTAGGTACCCATCAGAGTTGGGTGGACTCAGGGACGGTCTACTGACTTGAACCCGAATTCGAACTCGAGTCTTACGGGTTAGCAGTCCAGCTCTCTACCGCTAGACCACTCCGTCCCATAAAAATGAAGTGAGAATTGTATCTCAGTAATGAAATCATCACCATAAACAGTAAAAGCAATTTTTTTTTCTTCTGTAGGCTGACCTAGGCAGGGAAATTCATGCGATATCATGTGCCAGTAAACCACTGGCTGGGTGGATTGCCAGAGACGCCATACAGGAATGCCGGGAGGCTTGTGGAGGACACGGATATTTCAAAGGTGAGAGAGTTTTTATCATGCTGTTGATTGCTAGATTAGAACATTTATTCTGACCCATTCATTTTAAAAACAATATTAACTAGTGATTTTATGGGCTTACGTCTGTATAGAAACATTTGCTGCACTTCATATGTCAATTTTAATTAACTAATGATATTAATATGTTATTTTTAACAATAATTTTAATAGTGAGTTATTTTTTAGAAACTGTACAAAATATTATGTTGGTTCATCCATCATTACTATTTTAGTTATTATATAAAAGCTTATTTTTACCAAAAGTAGTTTACAATTGCTTTTTTAATATTCCGTATTAAAAGAGTGTCCTTTTGCATTTAGCAAAAATAACTGATAAAATAACTAAACATTGTGAAATTGAAGATTGTGAAATTACTCAATTGCAAAAAAAATTTGAAGAAAAATTGAAATAAATCATTGGGGCTTTTTTGTTTAAGTAAAGTAAGTAAAGTTTCCCTTTCAAACCTAATGGTCTATGGGGCAAGTGAAGTAGAGTTCTCTTGTTTCTGTGACCTCGGCATATGAAGAGATTTTGTGTGCTTAACACCAAATGCTGGGTTTTTTTTTCATGTAACAGGTTGATAAATATAAAGTTCTCTAAATTTTGTTATTCCAGTAAATCGACTTGGTGACATTCGCAATGACCATGACCCTAACAACACTTATGAGGGGGACAACAATGTCCTGCTGCAACAAACCAGCAACTACCTGCTCTCATTTGTAGATCAGGCTTTAGCAGGTAATACTAAAGGTTAGAGCTAAAAAATAATTTAACAGGTAATACTAAAGGTTAGAGCTAAAAAATAATTTAGCAGGTAATACTAAAGGTTACAGCTTAAAAAATAATTTAGCAGGTAATACTGAAGGTTATAGCTAAAAAAATAATTTAGCAGGTAATACTAAAGGTTACAGCTAAAAAATAATTTAGCAGGTAATACTGAAGATTAGAGCTAAAAAAAAACAATTTAGCAGGTAATAATTAAGGTTACATCTAAAAAATATTGTAGCAGGTAATACTGAAGATTAGAGCTGAAAGATAATTTAGCAGGTAATACTGAAGAAAAGAGCTAAAACATAATTTAGCAGGTAATACTGAAGATTAGAGCTAAAAAAAAACTAACAGGTAATTTAGTAGGTACACGAATAATATAGTTTAAATAAAACTCACAAATAAATTATATAACTTATCTTAATCAGATTATTTTTTTTTTAAATATTTAAAAAAAAATTATGAGCAGCTAAGAGAAATTATTCTTTTTTTTCTTAATAGTCATGTTATACCTCTTTATTAAAAGTATTTTAATCTATTTTTTTTTTAAATGTTGTATATCATCAGGGGAGGCTATCAACAGTCCGCTTGGCTCTGTAGATATTTTATCCAATCTTCCACAAAGACTCAAGTCTACATTCTCAGCTAAAACAGTAGGAGATTGCTTTAACCCAAATGGTAAGTAAAAATGTAGTTAAATAAGTGTAAGTATAGATAGCAGCATATTCCTTTAATCCAAATGGTAAGTAAAAATGTAGTTTAATAAGTGCAAGTATAGATAGTAGGAGATTGCTTTAACCCTAATGGTATGTAAAAATTTAGTTAAATAAGTGTAAGTATAGATAGCAGCATATTACTTTAACCCAAATGGTAAGTAAAAATGTAGTTTAATAAGTGCAAGTATAGATAGTAGCAGATTGCTTTAACCCAAACGGTAAGTAAAAAAAGTGCAAGTATAGATAGCATATTTCTTTAACATAAATTTTAAAAAGAATGTAGCTGAATGTGACCATGTGAAGCATATATGATGATTCAGGGATCAGATACTGGTTCTGAATTAGTTAAGAACCCACCCAGCTATTACAAGTACCCAGCACTATTTGGATGGGAAGAAACTCAAAGATTTTGGCCCTTGTTCTTCCCATGTTTGTATCCCATAGTTATAGACGCTAAAGTACACCATAAAATGACCTTAAAATTTGAATAAGGAACCTTCACTTAATGGTAAATAACTAAATGAAGCAGTTAAATATATTTTTTTTTACTGTTCTGGTTCACTAAATGAGCAATAACTAATTAAAATTGATTTTGAAATTGTGTATTTGCATGTGAAGTGGCTTTGGATGCCTACAAATGGCTTGTGTGCTACTTCCTGGTTGAGAGCAACAGGCGACTGACTGAGCAGACTCAGAGTGGGAAAGATTCATTCACAGCCCGCAATGACAGCCAGGCGTACTACTGCAGGTCACTGGCATTAGCATTCATAGAGGTAAGCTTCTCATGCTGTTGACCACTATATTTCCATATCACATAAACACAGCCAGGCCTACCACTGGCATTCATAGAGGTAAGCTTCTCATGCTGTTGACCACTATATTTCCATATCACATAAACACAGCCAGGCCTACCACTGGCATTCATAGAGGTAAGCTTCTCATGCTGTTGACCACTATATTTCCATATCACATAAACACAGCCAGGCCTACCACTGGCATTCATAGAGGTAAGCTTCTCATGCTGTTGACCACTATATTTCCATATCACATAAACACAGCCAGGCCTACCACTGGCATTCATAGAGGTAAGCTTCTCATGCTGTTGACCACTATATTTCCATATCACATAAACACAGCCAGGCCTACCACTGGCATTCATAGAGGTAAGCTTCTCATGCTGTTGACCACTATATTTCCATATCACATAAACAAAGACAGCCAGGCCTACCACTGGCATTCATAGAGGTAAGCTTCTGATGCTGTCAACCACTATATTTCTATATCACATAAACAAAGACAGCCAGGCCTACCACTGGCATTCATAGAGGTAAGCTTCTGATGCTGTCAACCACTATATTTCTATATCACAATAACCCAGCCAGGCCTACCACTGGCATTCATAGAGGTAAGCTTCTGATTACTAGCTTCAGCATGTAATGTGCATTATTCTATTGTTCTTAGGTGATGTAGAAATAAAGAAGAATACAATATCAAAATAAATAATAGGTTTCCTTATCTTGTTTTCTTTATGTTATCCTTTATGTAATTGGTTATTGAATTAGGGATGCTTTGTTGCACAACAGTTTCTCATAACTACTTCGAGGTCAAACATTTTTTTTTGGGAAAATATAAATAAAAAGGCACTAAATTTTAAAATTGATAATTTTTAATAGAAGCAACCAAATTGCTTTTGTTATGTACAATTAATAATATATTGATTAGCAAAATATTTGACACATTTTTGTTTTAATGTGATAAAACAGCATGCAGTCCTAGACAGATTTGTGAAGATTTTAGCAGAGAAAAATGACGAGCCAACACCCACTGTACTGAGACCAGTGTTAGGGAGATTGTGTGCTCTATATGGGCTGTGGAGCCTAGAGAAACATATAGCAACTCTCTATCAAGGTTAGACTAGTGAAGTTATCTGTTGTTTGTTAAATTAATTTTTGTTCAGAGTTATCCCCCTTTCTACTTTTTACAAGTCATTTTTTTTTTCACACGACTTAACTTTTTTTTTAAATTATAGAAAAATACTATTCTTTTAAAAATTGCATAAGTATCTGAAGAAAAGGAAACTAATAAATTTCATAATAATACCCATTATTTTTAAAGTACAGTAAAGTAATAAAGCTAATTGTCTCCCTCAACATTAGGTGGCTATGTGTCTGGTGGAGAGGCACCGAGGATGATCAGAGAGGCCATATTACAGCTGTGCCAACAGCTCAAACCTGATGCCATTTCACTTGTGGACGCCATCGCTCCACCCGACTTTATTCTTGACTCTCCCATTGGATGTTCTGATGGCCAGGTCAGTTATAAGCTAACAGTGAATTAACGTTCGCCATGTTTTAAGCAGATAGCTGTTTGTTTTCCCCACTAGATTTTCATATTTTAAAATATCTATTTTAAACTTTATTTTTATTTACATCGAATTTGGTTTATAAGAAATTTAAAAATTAAAATAAACCTCAGAAATAACTTTTTAAAATCTTGTAAAGATAGTATTTATTTACATAAACAGCTAAACACATATATGCAGGTCTAAAATTTGGAAGTTGTTTTTTTTATTTTTCACTAAACAAAGAAAACTAAATGCTTCTGAAAATAGTTCTTAAACAGGATCTGCTAGAAAATTATGAATCCACCAAAACACTCACTTTTTCCAAAACCACAACATCCACTTAAATGGTGTCTCATTCATGTAAGTTTAAGTAACCTAAGATCTGTTGTTTAATTCTGGTTTCAGATTTATAAAAATTTGTATGGTGCTATGCTTCAAGGGAGTAAAGCGCTAGAGAGACCTACTTACTGGCAAGAAGCCATTAATCCCCCTGCCAAAAGGCAAGTGGCCAAGTTGTGAGTCTGTGATAATCTTACATGCATGAATGGTCCAGCTTTTATTGTAAGGAAATTTAAACTTAAAGACACTGTAGAAATGTGCAATATAAGATACTTTGATCACGGTAAATTTCCTTTTTTTTTTGTAACCTAATATGTACTTTTAAATTTCTTTTTTCTTAGTACATTTCTTTTCATTAATAATTAATAGATAAAAGATGATGGAATATGTTTGTCGGAAAGAAAATGAAGTATTTTTTTACAATTATGTGATTTGCTTTCTACATTTATATTTTGACAGTATGGCTAGAGACATTGTGCATCAATGATTTTGTTTACAATTTTTTTACGATTTTTAAAAATGATTTTTTTTAATCTTGCCAATAGGATTTTCTTTTTTCTTAATATCCGTTTGATCTATTACTAAGAATGACGTTGTATGCATCACAAGATTTCTTCTGAGTTGTTTTTTTTCTGTTATAATTAGAAATATCATTTAGCCTTGAATAACTTCACAAAGTTTTTCTTAATCTACAACCCACCAGTTTTTCTTGGATATATTTTGTCCAAATTATATTAAATAGTAAACCACTCAGGGAGGTGTAGTAATCAAATAACAGTAAGGTTACCATGGAGATTATTTATATACCGCTGATCACAAAACAACCGATACATGTATATTGACAAATGGCTTGGTCGATGTTACTAATTACTTGTGTAAATTAATGTATAGTGACATTTTTCTTTGCTACTTTTACAAGTTTGATGTATATGAAATTTTTTTTTTACACTTTAACAAGTTAAAATTAATATGTGTTGGCAAAGGTTAATTGTTGCAGATTCGCAACAAGGTTGCAGCTTGCGTTGACATTCCATTGGCCAACATATCCATTTGAGGGACTTTGTTTCTAGTATATCATTAAATGAACCTCTTAATCTAACTAATTACCCCCCCCCCCCCCCCCCTTCAAATTGTTGGTGCTTAATTGATGAATTTAATTAGAAGATCCCCAGCTGATAGCTGCTTGTCAGTTGTCTGTAGACTACATTGCTGGCATAGATGGTCTACATAAAGTATTGTTTGTATACCTGTGTTATTTGATTAGTTATTCTTCATCATAACTAAACAAAGGTGTTAAAATTTAGTGCTCAATTAAAACTTCAATGAAATAATGTTCTCTGGTTTTTAGCTATAGAAAATTATTTTTTAAAGAAATATTACACCTAACAGATACTGGTTATCAGTACAATGGTGAAAAAAACATGTTGGCTTTCTTAAAATTAGTTACTTAAACTGTGCCATAATGAGTGATATGATTGATAAAACTGTGTTTTCAATTTTGTTTTATTTAAAAATGTACTTTTTGGAATAAAAGAATTTTTTAAAACATTTATTACTTGTTCTATCATTTTTAAAAATTCCTTAAAAAAATCGACTCTGATCTGTGATGAGTGTAAAATAGAAATATAATGTATTAACATGTTACATAATTTTGATATGAAGTAATCAATCGAAGGGTTTATGTATACATTATGTAACTGTTACGTAATGTTTTGCACACAAGCCCTTGTTGAATGTGTATTTGCAAGAATGACCAACTTTTGTTGTCATTTTCCTGTTAGGTCTTGAGTAGAATTAAACACCAAAAAACGAGTACATAACTAAGAAGGTCTTGCTTATCAGCAGATGAAACTAGAAACTTTTCAGAGAGCACACATAGAATAGTTGTTTAATGCCCCAAACTTCGTATGCTTAAAGATCCAAAGCCCCAAATTCCTGTCGTCCAGTGCCTCAAGTTCATGTCATCCAAAGCCCCTAAATTCCTGTCTTCCATTGCCCCTAATTCCTGTCGTCCAATACCCCAAACTGTTGTCATCAAATGCCCCTAATTCCTTTCATCTAAAGCCCCAAATTCCTGTCGTCCATTGCCATAAATTCCTGTCATCCAATACCCCAAACTCCTGTCGCCATAAGCCCCAAATTTCCAAAGTCCCAAATTCCTGTCTTCAAGAATCAAACTGCCCTGAGAATTACCACACTGCCAATCGCAGTCCCAAAACCATTTCAAACACAGATCTATTTGTGACATGCCGCACAAATTCCACAAACTATGTCCCATACAAAATACAAATGATATTGTGCGTACTTTTAACATGGCGCAAGGTGATGGCGTACGTACTTTTAACATGCAGCCAACTGCATCAAATGTTTGAAAGATCGTATTACATGGCCTAGTTTTAAAAAGTCCGAAGACCCAGTTTTTATATTATTTATGAAGGCCGTAAATCTCCACTCGATTATGTTACACACGTTTTAAAAAAAATTGATTTAAAATAACATGTGGTTTGATGTATGGGGGCATCCATAAACGGTGTCACGATTTTTATTACTATTTTTACCTGACCCCTCCCCACACACCTTTACTAAAAGCCATATCCCCCTCCCCCCCCCCCCTCTAGAATGATGGCACACTTCAATCTACTACCCCTTGAAATTACAAGGTTGTTTTTTTTAAAGACATTTAATTGCAAATTTTCGGGGGGGGGGGGGGAAGTTTTTCCAAATGCGAAGTTAAGGTTAAAATTCTAATATTAACATTAATTTTTACTGTGAGAAACCGAAAGTGGTTCGTCACACTATCTGTACCCCCCCCCCCCCCCCACCGTCACACAAAGGCGAAGACACCTCCCCCCCCCCCCCCCCCCGTTAGGAGTGAAACGTCTTTTATAGACGACTCGTATTGCAATGTAAATTAAGTAAAAATTATTTCTTTACCCGATTACCCACGGTAATTTATCCACAGAACTAAGGACTGACATTTCGTTTTGGTGTTTCTGATCCCCTTTTTGTACAGCAGCCGTAAAAATAGACATTAAAAACGATAAAAAATCTTTCTAGTCGAAATTCAGCCGGATATTATAACAACGATTATACTCCAGACTTTACTTAGGATAATTAAGAAATAACTTTGACGGAAACAAGCAGGTTCGAATTCTTCTCAAGGAGATTACCAGACACTTTTCTTCACCGCCCACGTACTTTACTCAGGAGAAATATGTAGATAACGCTCGACAAAAGGCCCAACCGAAGCAAAAATACCCTCGCCGCCTGCGAGATTGGGAACATCATAAACATGAAAGTTTGGCGCGCGATCATCTCGCCAGCGAACGTGACGTCTGAGCGCGCGCTCCTCCAGATGAGCATGTCAATTCTGCTAATAGCGGTCTAATAGAGTTACGGTCCCTGAGGTTGATTTTTTTTTTTAGGGGGGAGGTTGGGTCACCTTTAGAATGATGATCCGTGGTCAATGCGACTTGTGACGAAAGTAGCCATTCCGGTTGGAGTTTTTAAATATTTCGCCCACGTAAAACTAAAACAAATTTACCCAATGAACCGGATCAACTTCGGTGTGTATTTTTAGAGATAAAATGGCGTCATCTCTATATTGGGGGAGTTGGCTCGCATAAACATTGTTTTAAAATATTAGTGCAAATCTTGGGTGGGTCTAAAGAAGGTGTAAAAAAAAGGGGTGCTACTAAAAGAGATTATGAAAATCGGGAAGGTTTTGTTTTCAATGTGTCATATTACTAAAACATCTAAATTCTAAACCATGGGTTCTCAAACTGATAGGGGGGGGTCCCGATGGGCTTTCTGGTGGGTCGCCAACTGGACCCCCCCCCCCCCCCCCCCCACGAGTGTGACGTCATTTATGGATGACCCCAAAGCATACTGCGAAAAGTTGTTCTCCGTCATGAGTCTATGAGACGAGTCATTCGGAACACACCGAAAAGAAATGGAGTTCTTTCGTCGGCATGAATTTTGAGGCTAGTTACTAGATCTATAATGTAATTTCATCAACCGCATTAAAACAGTTTAAAAAAATTATTAAAATTAAACTTATACTAGAAAAAAATGTTCTTGGTGTTTATGAAGTTCCTTACAAATTCTATGGGGGTCTCAGATCACATACATTTTATAAAAAGAGGATCCCCACTCAAAAAGTTTTGGCTCCCATGATCTAAAGTGTTTGCACAAAATTAGGGTCAGATAAGAAAGGAGTTGAAACAAAAAAGGATCCCCATAATGTAGAGAAGGTGGTTATAAAAGGAAGTGATCTAAATAAGAAATCGCTGTAAATGTATAATCCAAGAAGGGGTCCCTACAAAAGAGGATTATACAACAAAAAGGGGTTATATAATCGGGGGCGATATTTTGTAAAAGGGATTATTGAAAAAGGGTCAACATTTATTATTTTAAAGAATAAAATTGATTTCATTAGTTTATGTTGAAGTAACTAATTGTGTGAGTGTCTGTGTTGGTGTGTGTGTGTGTTGGTGTGTGTGTGTGTGTTGGTGTTGCTGTGTGTGTGTGTGTTGGTGTGTGTGTGTGTGTGTGTGTTGGTGTTGCTATGTTTGTTGGTGTTGTTGTGTTGGTGTTGCTGTGTGTGTTGGTGCTGTTTGTGTGTGTTGGTGTTGCTGTATGTGTTGCTGGGTGTCTAACTCACCCTCTACAAACACCTCCCTGTATACGTGACTGTTTATAGCATACTAAATTCTTTATGAAGAGACCAAACAACAGACTGCTGGATTTACCAGTTCTAGACTGTCCACTAGCAGTCGCATTGTTTGCCCTCTCGCGCGACGTATACAATTTTGGCCACAAAACGTGTCGATTGGTAGAAAAACTGACCATTGAGTGAGTCACGCAAGGCCAGGTACTAGCACGCAGGCTACTGGGCAAGCAAACACATTAGGCCCTATATACATTTTTATTTTCAAACTTTTGTGTTTGTTTGTAATTGATTTTTGGCTAGTAAACAAAGTGTCGTGAAATCGAATCAGTTTTTAAAAAAAGAAAACATTATCTTTTTCTCACACCAGAGCAGCTTTGTGCTTTAAATACAATATATAAATCATTCTAATTTGTTTTTAAGACCCGTGATAATTTTACATGTCTACAGGATTATAAATGTGATGTTTTAAATTTAAAACATTTCGACCAAGTACCAACATCCCAGTATGTAGCAGTAATGATTTCTTGGATCTGTTTTCCTACGCCTAGGAGTCAAACCGATTTCTAGTGACGCCATTGGCGAAAAAGAGAGGGGAAAAATAGACGTCAAAAGGGAAATCTTTTGCTCTTCCTCTGTTTTGGAGCCAATCAGTCTTCAGCGACAACACGTGACTCTACAGCCATCGACTGCACGTAAAGACACACTTCCGGCTGTCTTATCGTCACTGAAATTAGTTTCTCATTATGGCTGTACTTGGTCGTTTTTTTTTCTCTATCGCAAACAGAAACACTTAGAACAACTAGATTAATTAATATAAGCACAAGCTGCAATATTCTCAATTAGGAAGGTAGAGATGTTAAAATTCTAGTCTGCCAACTAGGTATTAAAAGCTAGAACTTAATATTTAAAAAAAATAGTCCTTTGCAAATTTCATTAAAAGCAGCACAGGACTGAGAAAAACGGTAACGCATTACGAAGGAGTCAAAAACAGTGCCTCAACTATCCTTCCGGGGTTCCAGAGATTCTTCTGAACGTACTGTTTTCTAATTATTAATCTAAGTTTCCGTTTGCGAACAAGCTGGGGGTATTATAGTCATTCACTGAATCAGGCGCGTCCGCCGGCGCTTGGACAGGGTGCGATTTGGCACCATGGGCTAAACTGCGAGCACTATGCGTTTATGTTTGCATTTAAGTTGTGTTTATGTTATGAGTGTTGTGTTTGTTTTTTCGTTTGTGTTTTTTGGCAATTGTGTTTGCATTGTATTGGTGTTTTCATTTATGTTTTTATTTGCGTTTGTTTTTTCTTTTGTGTTTGTGTGTTGCATTTGTGTTTTCGTTTGTGTTTGCATCGTGTTTGTGTTTTCTTTTGTGTTTCTGTTGTGTTTTGTTTTGTTCCTTTCCCAAGTTGGTACATTTAAAAAAAGATTTACCATGGCGGAGCACGGGTATGCAGCTAGTAGAGTATATATCATAATATATGGATTAAAAGTCTAGTCTGTCATATGAATATTGGACGTTTAGCCTGTCAACTAGATATTAAGTCTTCTCTGTCATCTAGAACTAGATATTAGAAGTCTAGGCGCGAAGTAGATGCATAAAGTCTAGTCAATCATCCAGATATTAAAACTCTAGTCTGCAAACTATAGATTTAAAACAAACAAAAAACTGATTCAGGCGACCAGATATAGAGGTCTAGACTAGACTACCAGCGAGATCTAGTTATTAAAAGTCTAGTCTGTCAACTAGATTTTAAAAATCTCGTCTACTCAAAATTATTGCTGTCCCAAGGTAGTTATTGTGTAGTTAGGACTGTCCTAAGGTAGTTATTGTGTAGTTATTGTGTAGTTATGGCTGTCTCAAGATAGTTATTGTGTAGTT